CACAGAATGCATGCTTGTTAGTAAATGGAACAGCCCAATGTGCAAATTACAAATTGAGGATACCAAAATCAAACAAGTACAACAATTTCAAATATCCGGGAAGTGTTTTAACAGAGGATTGAAAATGTAACACTGAATTCCAGGCATTGATTTGGTCATTACTTGGTTTAATTATGTCCCATACAAGTGACTGTTGTCAATGAATTTTATCTAAAAACTTGTTACACTATGTAAACATCAATTCCAGTAATCTCCCCGGTAAAAGATCTACATTGTATAAAGAACACATGTTCCTGAAAAGTCTGAAATATTATAGTGCACTCAAAGTACTTATGGATGGAAGATCGCATACCAAATATTTAATGTGTAATCTAAAATAGTCAGAATGAATTGCAACAAACAGTAGTTTTAAAAAATAAACAATGGCCTTGTAAAATATTTTTCCTGAGTACAGTTATGTTGAATTGAATCACAAGAAATTATTTAAGTTACAAACCTATATTGTTTGATAGTGGGAGTATGTGATCTTTTTTATATTCATAGAGGAAATTATTAGTTCATATTAAGGATAGGGATTAACAAGATATTGATATTTTAGGGGGACACAGGAGGATTAAGTCTATCAAGTTAATCTATTTATCTGTCTATGAGGGATGCTAGAAAGTTTTTGGTCCAACCAAAAAGTCTCAATAAAAGAAAGATCTTTAATCATTTTGTCATATTTTAGGAAGTTGGTTGAGCTGAGAACTTTTCAGCATCCCTTTGTATCTATTCATATCTATCCATCTTAGTTTGCCTGTCAGTTTTATAACAATTTTGTCAAACAACTATAATATATTACTGAATGATGAATAAGACATTATTGGAAAGTTATTAGCACAAATTTAAGAACAAACATAAGAAAAAAATTCAAAAAACACATAAAAAATGCTACATTGCATCAAATACCAAACAATATTTTATTAAAGCTTTATCAAGTACTTTAAAAATCAACCCTGCAAGTTTCTCTTCTTTTATAAATTTCAAAATGTTGGATGAGAACTGAAGTGACACCTTGTACTTGAGATCAACACACAAAATGTTAAAAAAAGAAAATCCTACCTATCATCAGTGCCACATGATAAATGAACGTATCATATGATAAATGAATGAATTGGAATGAAATTTTACTTCTCACAAATAGAATAAATGCTATGGTTCATTGCACAACAAAAAGATGGCTGCCTAATTATTTTAAATGTGAGGTATTGTTTGTAGCATTCAACTTTTGGGGAAACTATGTGTAAATTACATAAAAGGGAAAAGTGAAATAATTAGATATACGTGTTCATTCAATTTTGCAATGGTGAAGGCTTCCACAGAGAATGCATGAGGTAATGTAAATTAAGGGATATATATATTCTATGTATATAAATTAATAATATCATTGTTTTTGGAAGTAAAAGACAATATGCTAAAATCCATTTAAAATATTATTGCACTTGAAATACAAGAAAATATTAAGACATTTGGAAGAATAGGAAATACTGACCTCATGTATCTACTGTTCCCATATACCCAAGGCAGTTCCATTTATCCATGAGGAACTTTTTTATTACACTTTTTGCCATGCAATTAAAACCAAACATTGCTGAAATTTGGTTTTCTTTTCTCACAAGAGTGTCTGTCAGGCAACATTTTTCTGCCTCAATCCTCCTTTGACTAAAACTTTTCTATGTCCTTCAAGTTTGACTTTAAGGAACAAATGGTTTCTTCACCCTTATCTAGTTCCAAGAAAATAAATGCATATATATATATATACATATATCTGTAGCCTAATGATGAAAGAAAAGCTTTTATTTTATATTAAAAATATTTAACATAATCTCCTTTCTTGTCAATGCACTTAATCCAGTGATAAATATTCAACACACACATCAAACATTGTACAATAAAAAATCCAGATGATGTGTCAGGCTATGGACATATGGATCCATACTTATTCATCTATCCTGAAAAGTTATCAGCCTCTCAAAGAAGATATTCTTCACCAAAAATCTGATGTTTGACCATTTGGTCAAATTTCTACAACACCACTTTCATGTCTACTGAAACACATATATCTACGAAATATATTTACAGTTTATTTTTATGTAATATATATATATATATATATATATATATATATATATATATATATATATATATATATATATATATGAATGCGTGTTTGAGTTGGTAGAACATTATCATTCTAATTATGAAACTCAGGTTCAACTCTCACAGTAGTCAATTTGCCAAGATCTCAATGTGTGGCATCATTAGAAATTATTTCCTGAAATTAAGCTGATGAAGTTCTTTGGAAGCCATTAAAACTAATGCAAAACCACATTGTGATCGAGGGTCTAAGCATGCTGGCCTTGTTCAACTCCAGATTGCATGCTGTCTGCCCGAAACTGTAACTAAGGTCTGCTCAGCATATTTGCAGTTTAAATCAGAGGTTAGCTTTGTTAGTGTTGAAGAAACACGAATAAGCCTGAGCAAGCGTCTGCAACAGGGATTAGCTATCTGCCCTAGTAAACAGTTATATGCAGAAATGAGCATCTAGTTCTTATATATATAAAGAACCCAAGTGAGTTCAGTTTTCTAAACAAGGTTTGAAATGTACTTTTTGAGGTTATAGCCAATAAAATTGCAGTCTCTCTATATAGATGGTTATGTGTGAATGATTTTATTAGGAAAACATTACTCGTTCCTTACTAACTTGACTAAATCACTTTGAGTTACAAATGTGCAAAAATAACTGCTATACTAACTGATGCTGCTAACCTATGATATTGCTTAAAACTTTTTTGGCATCTAGTAAAATGAAATCTTGTTAATTTTGATGGTTGACACCACAAAATAGATTGTTCAGATGATTTGTTACTCATTTAATTTTTAAACAAGGGTTTTTATTTCTATTTTATTCTATTTATATTTGTCTCAGCTGATTTCGCTTAGCTGTTTTGCAAAAGCAGATGATTTATCCAATGAGGAATGACTCGTGTAATATTCCAGTTTTTAAATTAAAACATTACTAGAATTTTGAAAAAAGATCTCTTTATATACACACACACACACATATATATATATATATATAAACAGAGCATATGTAGGCAACAATCCTTCATTTAAATGTTTTATTAAATAGAACAGACATGGAATAAGATATGATTAAGCCTTTTTGTGAGTTTCTCTTGGTGTCAAATTAATCATTTGAAGTTGGCTGCTGGAATAACAATAAAAATATAATCTATAAATAAATAACTCCAAGACAGAACAGAAGGGACATATAGATTGCAGAAAATTAGCTGTGTGTTGCAAGAGTAAAATTTGAAGTAAATTACTGAGTATGTGTTAAATAGAAACATATAGAAGGTGAAGGATGGTGATAGAATTCTTTTTCTTTTTCTCATGAGAGTTAAAAGGATTAATTAGATACAAAAACAGTGAAACTAAATTTTTCATACACTCTCACTGAATTTATTTTCATGAGCACAAGAGATTACCTATTTTTAAAAACCCCAGGAGCCACACTGAGTAGTCTTTCAAGCCACATGCAGCCCATGAGCTATATGTTGCGCAGGTTTGCTCTAATAGATTGAAAAAAATAATACTTATGATTCATCATATACTAAAAAAATTCCATAAAAGAACACTTGACAAAGGCTAATGTTGTATACTAATTCTCTTGCTCCTTGTGTCTCTATCAATAATAAAAAAAAACATCTGCATATATTGGTTCTACAATATTTCTCTAAAGAAGACTGACATATCACATCTCCAAGCAAAGTACCATATATAAATATTTAACACAAATCCATAGCACCCTTCTAATTACTGTTAGATTATGATTTGCAATATGGCAATACTCTGCTAAACCAACTGAAAAAAGGATTAAAAATTCTGGAAGCTCTCCACATCAAAGGACAGCAACCCACTATCAATAAAATGTGTTTTAATCTTGGTGTACATATGTTAAAATGCCTGTAATGAACTGTAAGATTATTTTTGTCACTAAACCCGATAACCAACAGAGCTTGTGAACCCATGTTCATTTCAAATACTAAAAACAGCATGAATCCATCCAGTGGCCATCTTTTAATTTCTTGAAAATCACCAACAAAGGTCAAAAGTAATTGGAACATTACTTATAATTTCAACAAGTTCTCTTACAAGTTTCCAACAAATATCTAACAACATATTCAACACCAGAAGAAACTCACTATCAGGATCAACAAATATTCCAGGGCCATTGTATTTAATAATAATGTGTGTATGGGGAAGGGATACTGAAATGAAAGACATATGCACCAAAAATAAGAAAGCTGAACAGATATTGCATCTATTTGGTTTTACAATTCATATTTCAAGTGACATCAATTAAGTCAATAGATAATACTTTCAGATACTGCTAGAGTACACTACATTAGTGTTAATAACATTACAGCCCCAAACAAATGTGTCAACCTAGTGTCAAGATCTGATGAAAACTTTGAAATACAACTGTAACTATACTGCACTGCAGCATCTATGAATATGCATATACACAAAATTCCTTGACAAACATTCCTTCAAAAGAAAAAAAATATATATATATATATATATATATATATATATAAGAATCAATTGATTTTTATTCATTATTTCTACTTCTAAAATAATTTTGTGGATACCCATGACACCCTGTTTTTCATTTTTTTTGCATTTTTAAAATGTAATTTACACTGTGTGTGTGCATGTGTGTGTGTATGCTTACAGCTGATTGCCCTTTTTCCTGTCAGTTCTCAAGTTTTGACAACTTGTATGTAATTAGACAACTTATAAACAAAAAAAACCCTAAAATTGCTATCACTTGCAACAAAATCATCAACGTATATTTTACTTATCCAAGTAACTAATATTGATTTATGCTTACAAATTCAGAATAAAAATAAAATATTCTTGAAATAATTATAAAATATTTTATCGTTTCATTTTTAATGAAAAGTGTCTGATCTTTTGCTTAAATTGTGTATAAATTCTTTGCTTTGTTTTGGAGCTTGGCTTGGTGAAGAATGGACATTATAGCTAAAAGCATCTTTTTCTATTGTGGTTGCCTTGGCTAGAATTCGGGTGAACTGTTTCCTCATCGGCAGACCTGGAACAGGACAGAGTGTGAAGAGAAAAAAATTAACTCATGGTTTTTTTTGGGAGTAAATTATTTTTATACACAAAAAGATGTTTGCTTCTTAATAATTACAGAATATTTCTTCAAAAAGTGAGATTTGTCTGTGACAAATTTTCAGGTAAACTTCACTTTTAATAAAAATAAATTGAAAATAACTTCAGAATATATTTAATCTACATTTGATTAACAAACAATAAAATAGGGTTAATCACAAAATATTTTGTTGTTAATCTGTCTCATCTTTAATGTCTTGATAACAATATTAATAAATAATGAAATATCAATAAAGTTTATAATATTTTTGCTTCCTCATCAAATGTTGATTACCAATTAGTTTATTTTTCACAGTTCTTCAATCATTTAGATTGTAAAATTGTTTAATGGATATCATTTTTATCATTTTGTTGTATTGATAACCAAAAATACTTACTACTTATTTTTTTAAGTTTTAAAGTATTGATTTTAAAAAAATAAAAAATCTAATAGTTATTTTCTAACTTAATAAACTTGTTAAGGAATAAAAATGTTTACTGGCTCACTGAAAATTTTGTCAATACAGTTTACAAAGTATACATATAAATTAAACTATAGCCATTTTTAATATAAAAACCTTGAAAAATAATCAAAGTAGAAATTTCATAACAAAAAGGCATAAATAAAAATTACTTCAGTTCAAGATTTAATTATTATCTTTTCATATATTTCAGAAATATTTATTTAAAAATATTGATTATTCATTGATGATTTGTAGGCTAACATCATGTAAAAAAAGTTGGAAGGATGTCAATAATATTAAATTAATTTTGGCACAAGGCCATAAGTATAGAGCACCCAGTGAGGATTAATTTTTTTTACTAATAATCTGTAAGGAAAGCTTACTAACCACTACACTAAAATGAAGTGCCTACAAATAGTATTTAGACATTGAATGGAGATCTAAAAATTTAGATCTTTGATCTAAAAAGTTTATTTTCTGTGATGTAAATACCAGTTTAATGAAAACTTCAGTCACTTTCCCACTGACATGACGTGGCTTCTTTTTGTCTTTTCTATAAATATTTTCATGGCAATTGTTCTTCTTAGTTCCTTGACTGCATTTAAGCATTGGGACTAGATTGGCAACTCTGTCTCAAAGTCTGTATTTCTGGGATGTGGAGTTTATAATTACTTACAGTCAGACTAATACCTTCATCTTTGCTGTTGGTATCAAAATGTTTCTTCAGATGTCTGTTGACCATGATAACCTTCAAAGAGTTTTGTACTGAACTCATTATTCAATCTACAGGGGTAGATTCATTAACCAATAATCCTCTAGGCTACTGTCCCAGAACAATAGCCTTGTAGATTAAAACATTAGTGAATAATAAGTGTGAGTTCAATCCCTCAGCTGGGTAGTATGGATATACTTATATTCAATGGAAATAAGATTAGCAATAAATGTTAACCATGATGACATCTCTTTAGACATGAATAACAGAATGATAACAATCTACCCCCATAGAATTTGTTTGTTTAATGGTATATCAACTCCTTCATGGGTCATTTAATTCTGAAATTTAATTTTCTTGGGGACTTTGAAGTAATAAAAGTATGATATATATTATTCTGCTTTCACAATTTAATACATGGTAGATGATACTCAGCTTTTGTGCATATATGTGGACATAATTACTAAAGGCAGTGTTTTATGTTGTAGTCATATTTTGAAATACAGTTTGATTTAAGAAATTGTAGGATATTATATGGATTAATGTCATGAAAGTGTTTTTTCATTGTTGGTAATTTTACTGTAAATAAGTATTGTTGGTAATTTTTCTATATAAAATGTATTGCTAGTTTTTTTACTATAAAAATGTATTTTTATGCTTTGATGTTTTGTTTTGTTTCGGGAATTACTATTGGCCTATAGATGGGGTGCTACCACCCCCAGATCAGAGTAGACCTGGGAACAACTCCTCAATAAGAGGCCTTACTGTTGGATGTAGCCCATAGAATGAATAAAAGGTTTCATTTCAAATTCCTTGAAGATCAAGACATACTTGAAAAAACTGGAAGGCACAACAGGCAAAATTTTGCAACCAACACAACAAAGATGAGGATATTAGTTTGACAGTAAATGAGTGCCTTTTACTTTAATATTTGCTTGTCAACATTAATAATTAAAAATAAAATTAAAATGTAAAGTTTATTAACTCAGAAAAAGAGTCACTTGTAAAAACTTTGAGCTGTAAGGTTCTTTAGCAATAAGTGCATTGACTTACTTACCTGGCATTACATATCCAGGAACAGTGGCATGTCGATGGAATACTTTCACATCTGCAGAAGTAGCATCTCCTAAAGAAAATAAATATGTAACAGTGGTTGTAGAAGATTGGAAATTTAAATCAAAAGAAAATGAACAAGCATTTTTTTTCTACTATTCTCAATATTGAAAATATAGAAACCTCTGCTTTGGAATGATATGCTATCTTCTATATATAGAAATATAATGAGATTTACAAAAGACAGGCTCTTATATTTTTTTCATTCTTATATTGATTCTTTTTGTTTTAATTCATTTATATGTTGTATTATCTTCCCACATTTAGAATACTCTCAAACAAAACTGAAGAAGATTGAATATTCTGATGTTGGATGTTCTGCCCTTAGTTGATGACATTACTAGCTAGATTTTTATTTACTCATTCCCTCACTATCTGGTTTTTCATCTTCTTTTCCTTGATACAAGGGTTGAATGTTTGAGAAGTTCACAGCACTCCTCCAAACTATTCTGACTTCTTAACAGAAACCTTGATACCTCATCGACCTCCAGACATGTGTAAAAAATATCAATAATAAATATTTTTTATTTTAGAGTAGAAATACCCTTTTCTTTCATTATTATTTCTTGATAAGATTCCTTTTAACTTTAAATTTCATTCTTTTATCAATTTATGTTTCTCTTCCTATACAAGACATGCTTGTTTGAATCATCATCATCATCATCATCATCAGCATCAGCAGCAGCATCAGCAGCAGCAGGCATGACTTTTGATCTTTATTGATTGGTGCTATTAACATGTACATGTATCGTCAAGTTGAATTAAGTAAATATCCTGTTCAATCCCACAGACTTGCTTGTCAGTTTCCTGACCTTAACCAATTGGGTGTGCCCCCTAGCGGCTAATACACTGTGCATCTCTGTTCATGAGCTGGAGTAGTGAGACAGCATTGTAATTGGGTGTCAAGAGAATTTTTTTTTAAATTTGAAGGATGAGGCAGCCAAGGCCTTGGAAACACCCTCAATCAGAGACTGCCTGTGGGAACCAGGTTGCCTAACTAAAGATATTTTTAATTAGGCCCCACCTGCAAGGTTATGCACTTCTTTTTATCAAAACCTGTCACCATATACACACATTTGACTGTGGTGCATGTGCCTGGTATACTCTTATCAAACTGGGTACCATAATAGGTGTATTGGGCTGCATATATTTGTATCCCTGCATTAATTTGTTGACACGGTGCTCTCTCACTCAATAATAATAATAATAATAATTTAAAAACTTCATAATTGACATAAGTAATAATAAACACATTAAAATAAATTAATATATCTTTTTATTGAATTGGTTGACATCATTAATGGGAAGGAGGTATTTTGACATGCATTTGCAAAGGTACTGATAACTGCTTGGAAATTGATGAATTTTAGTCATAAAGATTTAAATGCAAATTTTTGGTAATGCAGGTGTAAATGATTTAATTTCTTCACTAAGCTTAGAGCATTTAATAGTTGCATTTACTTCAATAGTCACTGGGCTTTTTACTTTTGAATAATCATTTATCTTCAAGATCCACACAAATATCAATGAATTCAACTTGTAAATAAGATTCAGTGTTTGCATTTTCTAAATCAAACATTTATTGACCTCTTATTGAACTCCAGACATTTATCAAACCCCGGAGTAGTCCCATTAACCACCAGGGGTTGATGTTGACCACTTTAGGGACTCCCGACTCTAGAGCTATGTATTCATTCAACTTCAATATCTTGAGGATATTGTTGACAACTTTTCTCCAAGTTTTCTTCAGCCATTCACTGATATGACTTCTTTCAATGCTCAGTACAGTTCACAGTTTGAACCATAAATTGTTTCATTGTACATCTTTGGTCTTTGTGTAGTCACCAACACATCCAGAATAGGAATGCCCAGACTTTTATACACTGACACCATGTTAACCCCATCAACAGGCTTGACATGACATATCCACTTGATCATAGAATGATCATTTCAGATGTAACTTGTTATCAGCATATATGGCTTCAGATTTACTATGAACACAGGAATTGTAAACATGGCCTCAAATGCAGTAAGTGATGAAGGTATCATCTTCAACAATTCCACCATGAATGCTACTAGATTTCTTGTAAACCCAGTGATTACAACCAGAACAGAAGACAGAGTGTTATGGTCCAGTGACGAAGCTCCATAAATAAATTATAATGCCAGGTTGATGTTTTTGAATAATAAAATCCCACTAAAACCCTTACATCACTTCATAACATTATAAATTTATAATTGATCATATTAAAACACCCAGGCTGGCTCAAGGGGTGGTTCTTAGATATCTATAAAATAATGATCAACAACTAAAATCCACAGAGATATACAATGTAAGCAACCAGCAAAAGAAATGAATTAACCACAATGGTGGAATGATGATAATATGGAAAGGTTTAATTAATTTTAATATAAGACTTAAAGATGGGAAATATATTTGTGGTTGCAAGCAATTTTTGTAAGCATAATAAAATTAATATAAATATGTTGAGGACTGAATACAAATTAAATATAAACAAATATTAAAGTTTACATGTTCAAAATGAAAAGAACTTATCTTCATGGCATTCTGAAACAATATTCAAATGCAAATATAATCTGACTTGATTTGGCCATCATAAAGAACTATATCTTCATGGGTAATCGACAATATGACAGTTCATTCAATATGATAGGAAAATCATGTTTCTATCATATTTACTTGGATTATTAACCTGAAATTCAATAAGTTAATATTTCATTTTGTGAGTTACAATATTCTCTAGGAGAGCTTCCATTTCATCCATCCATGTTATTGCATTGTGCCCTTGTAACTATTGTTTTTTCTTTTTTTAAATAATTTATGTCAGTTTTGAAATCATGTTCATTGGTGAAAAGGGATTTCTCTTTGCATTCTACTGGGTTGCTGATTCTGTAATCGCCTACCACTATTGTATCTAATAATCACAATTCCTCCTGTAAGGTCATTATTGGCTATTATTATGCAACTCTTAATTTCCGTAAACACACATCACAAAAGTTACTACCAAAACTTAAATGACAGACATCACTTAGCCATTTTCCAGAGTCATGTAAGGTGCTCAGATTAGCACTACTAATCATAACGTTCATGTTTTCTAAGTTAACTCTTGAAACCTTGCTTTCCAGGCTTTTAGTTTGTTAAATAAGTCATCAAGTATCTCAGCAATTAGCACAAGATCATCAGCAGGAAAAACTTCCCAAGAGGACCATGGGATAGGGCTTCAAGCACTATGAAGAACAATAGTGGATTAAGTACAGAACCCTGGTGGACACCAATTTTAATTTACTGAAAGAATCTTGATATACACCCTGCTTCTGGCATTACTGTACATAGTCTGAATGAGACAAAATTTAAATCACCACATACCATCCAAGAATTTTTATCTTTCTGTTTTCCCAGTTAATGTTTTCTACCAGTGCACTTTCTGCCCACAGCATAAATCAATACCTCTTCTAGACACCGTTTTGACAACCTCAAAAGACCTTGTTCTTATTGTGCCAACATTAAGGGTGCCTATTCTAAATGACTGATGCAGAATTTCACAGAATGAAGATCTGGCCAGACCTTATCAGAGTAGATGTTCTCCTAGATGAGCAACTGACCAAGATTAAAGACCCTCATCAAGAAATGAATCTGAGTTTTTTTCTTCTAGGCAAGCTACCTTCTCAGAAAAATTGATGAGTCCCAACTGCCTGATATTTATCACAGATGGATAAAAGCTAATACTGCCAGAAGCAGAATTTGAACCCATGCTGGAAAGCCCTGGTTGTGACCAGAACTAAGCCCCATAGAAAAGTCAAATTTAAGTTAACAACAAAAGATTGTATTTTTTGTCTAAACCTTTCTAGAATGTAAAGGGAAAGTAAAGAATTCTAAGATTATTTTTCAATAATCTTGTGATGATGTTTACAATCAAAGATGAATTATGCAAATATTAATTTTAAAACAATAAACAAAGCTCATTGACTGTGTTAAAATATTTTTTTCATGGTTTTCCTCTTCTCAAAAGTCAGTTTCTTACATCACTCAACCACATAGTTTCTTTTTGTATCTGTTTCTCTTTACTTTACATGCACCAAAATACCATTGTCTCTTAATTAAAAAAAGAATGTCTATTTTCCAGTGATAATAAAATGATGATAATAAACATCATTTTATGAAGAGAATAAAAAATTCAGAATTATGAAGAATAAAATTATCAAAGAATGTTTTTTGATTTTAAAAGCCTAATGCAATTGATTGAATTCCTCGCTCTAAAATACCTTCATGAAAATGGTTCATTGAAGGAACGGATTTCATGTTTTTCCTCTGACGTCTCTTCATGGCATCTTTACTCACAGACCAGTTGTATAAGAATTTTTTGGATGTTTCACTTATCTCTCGGCCATCAAGGATCTCTATTAAGAAGGAAAAAGAATATCAGAAAAAAATGCATTTGCTTGTTGTTTAAATAAGTAATTGAACAAAATACATGAAACAAAAGACCTTTGTCTGTTATCATCACAATGATTAACTTATATCAATCATCTATCCTATTCTCTATACAAGATTAAAAAGAAATATAAAAACTGCCCCAGCTGGGCTGGTAAGTATTACACCCACCTTATTTCTATTTATATTGGTCTTTACAGAATTCTCTTAATTAAAAAATGTTTAAATTCCTTGGAATGCTGCAAAAGGCACTAAGAGAATTTCTTTTCTCTGAGGGAATGGAATTATGAAGTTACTTGAAATATGGTAGAAAATAGATAAAATGATAAATGTGCTGCTCAGTAAAGTTAATATAATTTTTTGTTTAAATTGTCATTTATTTGAGTTAATAAATTGAACAATTTGTATATTACCCATTATTAATATCAATATACAATTATATATATATATATATATATATATATATATACAGGGGTTGGACAAAATAATTGGAACACTTGTTAAATTCAAAGAAAATTTATTTAATATGGAGTTGGTCCTCCTTTAGCCTCACAGAAAGGTTTAATATGTCTAGGAATGGAATCATACAGCTTCCTGACTTCATCCAGAGGAATTTTCAGTCATTCTTCCATTAAAACCTTCTCCAGCTTTTTATGACATGATAGTGGAGGATAGCGGTTACTAACTTGTTGCTCCAAAATGCACAACAAATGTTCAATAATATTGATATCTTGAGATTGGGGAGGCCACTCCATGTGTTCTAGCTCACTTTCATGCTCTTCATACCAATTCTTAACCACTTGAGCAGTATATATTGGAGCATTATCATCTTGGAAGATGCAGTCACCATCAGGGAATAAAGTCTTGGCCATTGGATGAACATGATCTCCCAAAATGTTTTGCTGTTGATTCTACCATGCAGGGCAACTATTGGAATGAGACATTTCCATGATATGGCGGCCCAAACTATCACTGATCCACCTTCATGCTTCACTGTTGGAAGAAGGCAGTCAGGGTTGTAAGCTTCTTTGGGCTGCCTCCACACATAAACTCGCCCTGAAGTTGGGAAAAGAGAAAAACTGGACTTGTTTGAGAATATGACTTTGTTCCATTGGTCTGCAGACCAGGCATTGTGATCTCTGCACCACTTCAACCTCTTTTGAATGTTGCGAGTGGAGAGAAGAGGTTTCCTCACAGTGGCTCTTCCATGATATGCAGCCTTATAGAGCTTGTGGGGAACAGTTTTAGTAGAAACTGAATAATTCAGATGGTTATTTAACTCAGCAGTCACTTTGGCCACATTTCTCCGATGATTTTTTGCCACATTGCGTTTCAGTGCATGTCAGTCCCTGTCAGTAAGTTTGCAAGTCCGGCCTGAATTGCTACAGTTGCTAGAGGTCTTGCCCTGTTTCTTGAATTGCATCAGTGTTCTTGATATGGTAGCGCTTGAAAAACCAAACAGTTCAGCAACCTTAGTGATTGCGAGCTCCAACAATTTGCTCTTTTTCAAACTCGCAGAGATCACGCATTTAGCTTAAATTTTACTAAATTCTAAAAATAAATAAGCCAAAGACAGTAAATTAGATAAATAAATGTATTTACAATAGATATAACCTGCAATTACAAAGTTTTGGTTAAAGTTCTTAATATGATGGGTCTTTGAAATATAGGAGTGGATTTTGCAACTGTTCCACCCTGTATATATATATATATATATATATATATATATATATATATATATATATATATATATATATAATATAATTATATACTGCATTTTTTTTTTTTGGCTTACAAGATGCACTTTTTACAAAAATGATTTCTCCAGATATTGCAGAGATATCATGAATGAATGAGGGATCCAAAGGGCTGTGTAATACAAAATATATTTGGTGAAAATTTTTTTAAAAGAGAATCTTATACATACATGTATATCACAGACTATAAAGCACACACTCACAAACAAATATATATATATATATATATATATATATATATATATATATATATATATATGTGTATGTATGTATAAGTTTGCTTAGTAATATTTCATTTAAAATATGAAAATTTGAAATCCACTATCTGTTGCAAAATCAAGGTTAAATTAATAGAGACTTAATGAGATTTATTTTAATGTCAATTCTGTCAGGTTGTACATCATTTATAGTTTGAGGTAACATTTAACCATATGGAAAACAAAGACTTTAGTGAACGTCATATTCTCCATTGCACATTGTGTGAATTTTATAAAGTCAGTAATACATTACAGACAATAAAATATATTAGTGCTATGTAACCAGGTGCAATGACTTTCAATAAACACCAGTGATAGTTGTACAACTGTAAAAAATTGACCATAATCTTTCCAATGTTTAACTCTGGTAAACCATCCATGTTGGATAATAATCTTTTGAAGACATCTTTGAAGGAAGATAGTTATCAAAGTAATAGTGATTTAGCAATAAAAGCAAAATGCATCATATTCAACTATACATTAACATCTTAAGAAATTTGGAAAACAATCAAAGAAGAACATTTTAGCTCACCAGACAAGCAAGTGCAACATCCACCATTTGCAATTGTCAGCCAAAGAGAAATTAAGAACTTTACATTTCTTCATTGGATTATTACAGATGTTAAATGGATTCTGTATGCTAACAACAAATGTAAAAATCAATTGTTATCACCATCAAAATGAGAACTTTGTTGTTCACACAAGGCTTTGCTCTTCATCTGGTAGAACATGATAGATACTGTTCTGGATCCCAGAACAGTATCTGTCACCAACACATAGGTTTATTGTTTATTGGTCAAGCATATCATTGGTGTATTATATCAGATATACACATCTTTGATGTGTGAATAGAAAGATTGTCGTCTTTTAGTATGACAATGAAAAATCTTATTCAACAAAACCAAACCAAGAGAAAATAGTCATCAGGCTGGAAAGTTTTTGTTTTTATTTTGCATTAATCTGCATTATTCACCAGATTCCCCACTTTCAGGTTTTCATTTGCCATCATCAGAACAATTTCTTTATATGAGGATAATCAGAAAAAAAGGAAAATGACAAGTTAGATTTGAGATTTTATGAGTATGGAATGGAAAAATTGCCTTGATTGTTACTATGTTGACTGTAATGGTTTCTGGTGGGAATTATAACATCAATCAATAAAATTTAACTTTATTACATTTTCATCTATAAAGACCATAGTCAAGACTGTAACATTTTTTTACAATTAATACTCAGTCTAATGTATGATGATGATGATGATGAAGGTGATATTATAAATGGTAATTTTTATCATAAATAGATTTTGATGATGACATTAGTCCCTTACCTAGACTTTTTGCCATAATAATGACTTTATCCCGAAATTTGTTTATCAGACAGAATGGGTTTGAACTAAGTTCCAGTTGGACCAATTGATGCATATTCATGACGACATTTGATAAATCCTTCAGGTCAAAAAGTTTGTTGTTGGTGGTATATAAATGGGTCAGTTTGTTTAATGGTTTCAAATCTTCCAGAGTGTCAAGACGATTACCAGATACATTCAGTATTTGAAGAGTTGGCTAAATAAATATCAGAGAAAAAAAAAGACAATTATCTTACATGCAGACTGCTTGGCAAGCATTTTTATTTTACTTACTTTCCAAAACGTGCATGTTTGAAATTTCTAACATGACACAAAATGTTGTAAAAGCATAAAATTAAATGTCAAATAGACAATATATCATAAAAGAGAGGAAAAGAGGAATTCTGTGTTAAATTACACATTAAATAATAAAAGAATAAAAAAACAGAATTCTGTGTTTTCCAAATGTTATCCAATGTTATTTCAAATGTTACCAAAATTCATCTTGAATTTTTCATACTCATTTTCTGTTATATTAAAAATATTATTAATATTAAGAAAATATTTAAAAGTCTCTTTGCAATATAAGGCTGGGTAAGAAACCAGTTTTATTTATTTAAAAAACATGTCCAAAGGAGACAGTTTATAAAGCATTAGCTTTTGTAAATTTTAACAGTTATCAGATAATTATTTTATAATAAAATCTGATTATAAGATACAATTACAAAATCCCTCAATTTCCTAATCATTTCTTGTTAAAAATTAAATAAAACATTGTTGAGCAGAATGCTGTTCAAATATAAAAGCAAATAGTAGACAACTATTTGATGGCATAATAAATATTCTATATATGAATAAACATTTCAGTGCTTATGTGTGCATGTATACCCTTATTTATATAAATGTGGAGTCTTATCTGACCAATACTTGATTGCAGAGGCCAAGTTTCCTAAAAGGAAAAAATTTGAAATAAAAAGCAAAACATTAAATGAAAAATATGATATTAGAAAAATTTGAGCAATGACAAAAACAGAGAAAGTGAATCATAAAAATCTTAGTAATATTATGGCTTATTATAAATGTTTTGTAACTGTAAGTTCCATGAAAATGTGTTGCTCTTTAGTAAAGATTTCTAACCTGCAGAATTCATTCTGCAGGTTAGAAATCTTCATAATTATTACTTATAATAATTCTTATTATAATAATATATATTATATTATATTATATTATAATAATATATTATTATAATAATATATATATTATTATAATAATATATATATTATTATATTATAATAATATATATATTATATAATAATTCTTATTATAGCATGATAATGAACAAGCTTGTTACTCAGGTTAATTGGCTTCTATAGTCAGTTCAGTTCTATCTAGCTCACTATTGTAATCTTGTACCAGACTTGAAGACCAATACACTAATGAGTTCAATCCTTACAAGTAGCACATTATTGGTTCTTGTGTCAGATTAAACTGTGAATATATAAAGGACTATGAATTGCTTCATTTTCTATAGAGGTTTCTCCAAAAGTGTGTATATAGAATTGGATGCAATTTATGAGAGAAACCTAGATAGTGAAATATATTTTGTGCAATACCTTTCACATAAGCAATGCTTAATATTATTTAGAAACTATATTACATATAATTGCATAAAGTTTTAAAAAATGACATGTTAAGCAATCATTCTTATATGCATATTGGAAATCAATATTTGATTTGGATACAAGAAAGCATTGTAAACAAGGAAAGTCTATTTTATTTAGTAAATGTTGCTTACTGACATTTTTTATTTTTAAATAGTTCAACAATGTTTTACAACATTTTGTGTTTCTGGAGGTGTTGAAAAGTTCACAGCCTTTCCAAAATTTGACCAAATGACCAAGCATTAGAATTTTCGATGGGAAGGTCATTTTGGTCAGACTGAAAACATTTCAGCATCCACTCATATATATTATATTGCTTGTGTGTGTGTGTGTGTGTGTGTGTGTGTGAATGAGAGAGAGAGAGAGATTTTTTGTTAAAATGAGTATCAACTGACATACAGCAATGGCCATGACTGATAATGGATCAAACAATAGTTTTTCTCCTGGTGGAAGGTCTTGGTTTTCCACATAAAGTTCTTCCAATTCCTCAAGTTTTCCCAGACCTTCAATTACACTCAAACAGTTACCACCAAGATACCTGGAAGAGAATGAGATAAACAAAAAGATAAATAATTCAAATTTGATTATTTATTTTCCTATTGTGAATATGTGACATGTTACAGATTTTAATGTAAAGCAAATTAAGTTTGTAAAATTCTTCCATCACAAATACATAAGCAGACAATTTATTTGCTGTCAATTTCCAGTAGTATTTAACCTCATTAAGCAGTCATGGTTATTTTCCATAATTTTTCCTGATAAAATCAGCTATACAATCTCACACACACACACACACACACGCACACACAGAGAAAGAAAATGGTTTTTCGTATATTTTATATAAGAGGATCATAGAATACAAATCAGTAATGAACACACATCATGCAATGACAAAAATTATACTTTTATAGAATGCAAAACTAATAATACATCAAAGATCATGTTTGTTCTAGTTTTTAAAAAAGAAATCCATGTCTTTACAGAATATAGGTGATCATGGTTCTCCACAGATTTCTTTACTATTTGTAAACTGCCATGCCTCCTTGGGAAAAACAGAGAATGGTTTGATGTTGCCTTTTCCATAGTTTTGGATTCAGTTTTTCTTCCCCTAAACAGGTAGCCATGTAAAGCTATAGAGACCAGTCTAGCCTGATATTTAATTTATATCTGGGTGAAGGAATTGATTCATGCCTTTCCCAAGAGCATAATGCAAAGTGAATGCAACTGACAATGACAGAACTTGAACACAGATCACTGATTCCACTTATCATTAAAATAGCCATTATGCTAACTGTACATATAACTGCTTTGGTACACATCTACCAAAATAAACACATATGAACTGTTATGGATATATGATTATTACTATTTTCCCCTCTAGGCAAATGTTACATTGGTTTGAGGTATTTTTGTGAATTGCTACAGTTTTCCTTATTTTCCATGATATTTTTGGCATGTTTTGATTTGTGTTTTTTAGTTGCCATATATGTTTTGATATATTTTTGTAAACTTTTGTTGTTAAATGATGTTTTCTGTGAGTAGCAACTTTATTTCCAGTGACCTTCTGATATTCCTATATATTTTTTCTGGATTTCCTTTTAATTTTATAATAGCTTCATATATTATATTATTAGGTAATTACTAATAAGTGGTTATTTGTAATGTGTTCTGCAATTACAGGACAGATTTATGGATGTTTATTGTGTACTGGTGATTTTTCTGTTATACTCTTATGAATAGTAGTATGTTCTTGGTGCAGCTGTAGATAAGTTTAAGAGTATATATATATATATATATATATATATATATATATATATATATATATATATATATATATAAAATAAATAAAAGGCAGGATATGTGTGTGTGTAACGAATGCACAGCCGCAATTTTCGACGGATTTGCACCAAAATTTACATGCACATGCTCCAAGTTAGTGGAAAGGTCAAGACCAACTTTGCATTTCCCAACTCTCATCAATAGTGGAAATAATCAAATTTTTCATGCTTCTATGGCAGTTTTCATGTAGTTTGCAGCCATTTTGTACTGGCCAGAGTGAGAGCCAATAGCTGGCTGCCACGAATAGGCAGGAAGATTCTATTGGCCAGTGTGAGAGCCAATATCTGATTGACACGAATGTTAACTAGCATGCTAGCATGCAAAAAAAATCGATAGCTGCATTCATCACAAATGGAAAAAATTTAAATCTGCATGGCACTTTACTCCAGTTGGCTCATTCGCTTGCTTAAACTCAATGTTGATTCTGATTCCGCAGAACTGGGTTGGGTGTGAAAAAGTATTTGTTGTTAACATTCTTTTTTCATTCGGTTTTTCCAGTTACGAGTCCTTTTTTAAAGCTGATCATTTTGCGTTCATTTTGTTTAGTTCTTTTTTTGTAACAGATTTAATGTTTAGTATAGAGCTTAGAAAAAATTTGCAGTGTGAGATAAACAAGAAGTAAGGCATGTAGCAACATCAGCACGGCAAAGGGCACTCCTTTAAAGGCAAGCAAGGGCAAAAATATTTTAAGTCAAGTGATAGCAATTGCTATATGAGTTGTACGACTTTTGAATCAAGCACGGGCAACGCCAAGCCATGCTGCTAGTATATATATATATATATATATATATATATATTTGAACAGAAACAAATTTTCAATGGATAAACATACTTTTGAAAAGCCACAGAGATGTCAGGTTGAAATTCGTTCATGAATATAAGGATAAAGAAAAATCATATTAGGAAAGAGTATTATGGATAGACAAAACCAAAATTGAGTTGTTTGGACATAATTCTAAAAATCATGTATGTACGAAAGACAGTGAAATTTGGTGGTGGTAGCATCATGGCTTGGGGATGTTTTTCTGCAAAAGGTACTGATAACATATCAGTAATAAATGGTAGAATGAATGCCAAAGCATCTCAAAATATTTTGGAATCAAATTTAATGATTTCAGTTGAAAATCTTGAACTTCCTCCTGAGTGGATCTTCTAACAAGATAATGATCCTAAGCACATTGCAAAATCTACAAATTGTTTGCTGAAAATAATATAAATATCCTGAAATGACCAAGTCAGTCCCCAGAGTTAAACCCAATTGTGAATCTGTGGCCTTATTTGAAAATTCAAATCCAATCAAGAGCTCCAACAAACTCCCGGATCTGAAGACCATATACAAAGAAGAATGGAACAAAATACCAACTAAAATTTGCAAATTATTAATTGGGAACTACAAGAAGAGGTTGGTTGCCATAGAAGTGAATAATGGCTATTCTAGAGAGTATTAAATGAAGATTATGTATTCTTTTTTGTACTGTACAAATACTTTTTTCATCCATTAAAATGGATAAATGGGATATATTTCTATTAAATCAATTTTTTTTTGTTTTCTATGCATATTTAGTTATTTTTAGTTATATTTAGTTTAGTTATCTGTGTACAGTTAATTATATGAAAAAGTATGTTTATTCATACAATAAATTTAAAATTTGTATGTGTATGAATATTTGTTTCCCCTACTATATATATATATATATATATATATATATATATATATATTTGGGCACCTCGAGGTGGTGTAATGGTTAGCAAGCTTGGCTCTCTAGAACAATTACGACTGAGTAGTAAGTTCGATCCTCACTGGGTGCCCCCTAATTTCGGCCTTGTGCCACATCTAAGCTACGCTTGGAAAATCACTATATATAAATATATGTATATATATTGGGCAGGTCACAGTTTTCTGCTTCAGCATAGTTTCCTATAGTTATATCAAATGTTCCATGTTCCCATTTTTAACCCAATTGTTTTGTTTTATAATCTGTTGTGATTTTGGCATATATTCCTTTGTCAAGGGGAGGGTCTTTATCTAATATAAACTCAGTGATAGATGGATAGGAATCTTTATTAAAGAATTTTATTGAGATTAACTGACAACTTGTCAAATATTCAGCAATCACTGATGAATGTCAATAGTTGTCATTTTTTTCAATGCTTTGTAAGCACTTCATGCCAAATGGCATTTCGCCAAACTACTGCCCAATTAATTTATTGGTTACAGGCAAAAAGCTCAACATTCACAGCCATATCATTAATAGCTGCTTCTGACATCATGGACCAGCATAATAAAATAGGCAAGATAATTTTGATAATAACACTCTCTCTCTCTACATATATATATATATATATATATATATATATATATATATATATATATATATATATATATATATATGTATATATATATATATATGTATGCACACAAATAAGTTTGATTAAAAGAACTGACACAATCTGTCTAATTTTTTTGTTTACATTTTTTCCAGTTTTCCGATAATGCGTTGAGTATTGTGCTCGAAGTGGTGGATAAACTGTCTAATGTGGTGTCTGTGTCACAGTTAGAATTTGTTTCCTATGTTTGCACCCTGGTATTCTTTGGAAAGCTGGACATTTGAAATAGTCTATTGTGACATCATGTATAACAACTTTTAGGAACAAGTTCACACAAAATGAATACAATTTATTAATTTTATTTTATTTATTATTTATTTATTCATTTTTTTATAATACTAATAAAATATGTGTACACATTAATTCTATCATCTGCACTTTATGATACCATCTCCTGTGGTGAATGATATTTTATTTAATGTGGGCTGTTTATTTTCTATAATAATAGTTTCTAGAGTTTTGAGTCTTTCTTTGCATTGGGTGCTATAGAGTATTTTGGTGTTACCTACTAATATTTGTCTTATGTTGTGAGTTGCATTTTGGTTGCTTATGCAAGTTGATGTATGTATGGATTGCATTGACAGGTGACAGGTCAATCTGCAAGAGAGTGCATGTGTGCTGAATGTAAGTATTTAATGTATTTTTTTGATTATTAGTGATGGAGATGCATAGAATTCACAGGCAAAATTGTTTTCCCCATGGGGAAATTTTTGAGGCTTGGTGTTGTTGGTAATAATTAAGTTAGATGTTTTAAACTTTTTATAGCAGATGATAAGTCTTAGATGTTTGTTAGACTCATTGAGAGATATGTACTGGTGAATTATATTTTTAATTGCTTTTTTATTCTGTTTATAATTTGGGTACATTTTGTTACAATAGAATAAGTAAATGGTGTGTTTATTTTTGTTTGTGTTAGGGAGGGTATCTGGTATCATTTTTTCTAAATTTCTTTAACGCTAATCTTATTTGTTTGTCAATGACGTGGTTAGGTAAATTCTTTGATGCTGCTAAGTTCCTTATAGAATAATATGCCTGGACAAGAGATTACTTTAGCTAGGTAAATCATGTTTTTATAACAGCTATTTCGTATCCGAGGACATTCACTTTTGTAATTAAGTAAACACAAGTTTCTGTTAGTGTTTTTTTGTAAAGAGAGGTTGTAAAATTATGGCTATTGGCATTGACTATTATGTCAAGGAAAGGGATTTTATTATTAAAATTGATTTTGTAAGTAAAGCGTAAGACAGAGTTATTCTCAAATTTTTCTTTCACTTTTTTATTTCTTCTAAGCTATTTGCTAATATGAAAATGTCATTGATATAGCATGCATTTATAGGTGGGGTGGGGCTTGGTAGAATTATTGAAGAATTTGTTTTCCACAGAACACATGTAGAAATTAGATAGTCAGTCCAAGGGCCAAACTCATCACTACAGCATCAGTTTGTGTGTAAATGTTACCATAGTGGTCATAAAATTGTACACGTATAGATGCAGACAAAGGAATTTTAACTGCCACTCAGACACTACATTGAATCTTGATAATGACTGTGAACAAAAATAACAAAACATGAACTTAAGACACTTTATCTACAACTTCAAGCAAAATATGCAACACCTTATCAGAAAATTGGAAAAACAGAATAAAAAATTAGACAGACCTTGTCAGTTCTTTTTAATCAAACTTTTTTGGATGAATACTTGCTAGTTTCTGACACAAAGTGAAGACAAAGCAGAAAATTTTTAATCAAAGACATAAGACTGACATACAAACGGGCAGAGAAAAGCTTATAAAATGCTTTCTCTGGTGAAACGTATATTTGATTAAAATTTTCCATTTTGTCTCATCATTTTCACACACTGAAACTGAAAGGTCATTGATATTATTGAGTTTTTTCTGGAAAAACTAAAACGTTTTCTTTTAATAAAAATCCCCTATAGAGATTATCAGTATGTAATAATACTGAACAATGTTTTCTATTAATTTGTATAACAGAAATAAATAATTGCATTGTTTTATTCTTTTTTCAACTTTGAAATATAAGTCAAAACAAATAAAATAATATGAAATATTTTGTGTAACTATAATAAACGTTAGCAGTTATTTTGTTGCCTAAAACGGTTCTTTATTATTACTGCCTTTCTTCCAGGGCACTCAGCATTGTGCATTTGTTGACATATCAGTCCTACTATTAATAATGAGGTCATTTATCCCTAGATAGCTGATGAATGTAGCCTTGAGCCAAAATTGATCTAATTCAGCAAATACCTATGGGGTTTTTGTAGTAAAAACCATAATTTGTATAATTATGTGATTCTTGAAAGATTAGTTTAAGGAAAGAATTCAGAGGCTAAACTCTTCCATTAACAATCAATATATCCAAACGTTACATGTAAAATTGGCTATGGGTAAGTTATAATAACTAAACTATACAAAATAGAAATAATGATGATAGTGAGAAGGAATAGATTGAAATGGAACAAATATAGTGTTAACAAAAATAACGGTGGTGATCAAGAAAGTGTTCAAGAAAAGTAAAATACTTTCAGACAATAGACTAAGCTGAGTTGTGAAAGACAAAGCAAAGGAACTCTACAAAATACAGACAGAAGTGACAATTCGAGTAGAGTGCTAAAAATTTAAAGAGACCGTAATTCAATTTCCAGTGATGGCTACAAGAATGAAGAGGAGGAGATGGTGGTGGTGATGGTGATAGTGTTGATTGTGAAGAATAAAAGAAGATCAACAAAACTTTTGAGAAAAAAATGAAACCAAAACGAGATTTATATTTTCCATTATTTACTTTTTGCATATCTAGAGATCAAAACAACTTTCTACAGAACAGATGTGAAATAGAGAAAATAATAAAAATGATATTTCAATATGTCCTTCAACACTATGTGAAACTCATGTATTGAACATCTGGAATAAAGTAGCTTTTAAACAAATGTGTTCATCTCTTTATTGCTGCTATCATATACCCCAGTTCCACTTACTGCATGGTCAGATCATCACCAATTAAACTAGTTTCCCCACCAGACTTTTCTGGCAAAGAAGGTAGCTTGATGCTCAGTGGGATTAAAAACAAGACCTGTAAAAGAGCAAGTAGATAAGCCTTCTTGTGGACCATACAAGTAAGACAACGTAACATAATGTTAAATAGCAATTCTCCTTTCTCTTTCAGATGTACCAAGAGTATTAACATAGCAGCTTCCAGTCTGATTGAAGAAATGAAAATGAACATCGTGCTCATGGCATGAGTCACAAACACAGGTGAATGTTTAAAAAATGGCCAGCTGAATAGGAAAAACAGCAGGTGGTTCTGATGCATGCCAACATCATACTACCTGTGATAGTCCAAGGGTTTGGGAGCAATGAGAGTCATATGCCAACCCACTCCTTCCCACAGGTCCTTAGAGTCTATGCCAGTTCAGTTCCACTAGTTTGAAGCTTCATTGCTAAGGCCACACACATTGTAGTGAAACACCTTCATTCCCTTCAAATTCCATTGGAGAGATGTAAGTTCCACTTGAGCAACTTCTTGTCATGTACCCCTGCTTTGTAGGACCAATTCCCAAAAGGATGCTTCTCTGATCACTACAATCTTAACCTGTTCAAGTCTAGCGTCAACCATCATCTACCCAATATATCTCCATAAACTGTGCCTCTTTCTCTGTAACCTTCCACCTTGAGTGGCTCTTGGGCTTTGTACAGGGTGAACATCACTGTATAAAAATACACTAAAATGTGAGACACAGTGATGAAGCCCTAGACAAAGGGATTGGCTGCATATGTTCCACTGGGACTCTGCTTCTTCCCAATTGAGCCTGGAGTGGCAGGTTGAGAATTTTCACAATCATGTCACCCCCATCATTTGGCTACTAGGGGCTTCAATGAGAATAATATCACCTAGTGGCCTCATGATAGCAGGGACAAATTGAAGACTGCTATTGTGGATGTGATGACCAACAAAAACAAGAACTACTTGACCTCTGTATGCAATTGTTTCTAAGGTCATAATGAGGCTGAGGTTGATTCTAGTGAATAACTTTTCCTGTTTTTTCAAATTGAGCATATTTGCATATTTCAAAAAATATAGATTTTTTCTACTGAATATTTTTGTTTTTCTTTATATCATAATTTGTTCTCAATTATCTGACTCACACTGTTTTTAAATGACTGTAACGAGCAATGGATTTATACTTTATATAAAATTAATTTTATGCACTTACAGCTTATTTAGTTGCTTTAGAGTTGAAATGTTACCAATTTTTCTGATGGCATTATTTTGTAAATAAAGATGAGTAAGGAATTTATTGCCGTCCAAGACTGGAATACTAGACAGCTGATTATCATAGAGGTAAATCACTGTCAAATTAGGGCAGATGGATAAGTCACATTCCTGAAAGAAAATGAAAATAAGCATTATACAATAGGTCTACAAATAATATTTTTAGCAAATTAAATGATGTCCTCTTGCATTATGAAGGCTTCGAGTTGTATGTATTTCTGGTTAAACAAAGGGATGATATCCATGGACAATAATTGCAGATTACTTATCTTCTATAAAATTAAAAGTATATATTCTGATCCATTATCCATGAACAACAGTTTGGTTAAGAACTTATATGGACTTTTTCACTGTCTTTTCTTCTATATAACATATTACATATTAAGGAAATACTTTATATATGCATATATGCATATATATATATATATACAGGATGAGGCAAATTTTATGCACCATAGTTCAAAGAGGTCCTGTTGAGTGGTCACCAAGGTCACCAAACGTCACATCTTTGAATTTTTTTCTGTCAGGCCATTTGAAATCAGTGGTTTATCATATGTACCCAAGAAATATTGACAAAGTTAAATAAAGAATTAAATACCAGTGCAGTAAAATAACAGAGAAAACTCTCCAACATGTTAATGAATCATGCAGGCACATGATTTAATTGTCTTTGGAAAAAGGAGGACATCACATATACTAGTTATTTAATATAACTAGTAAATAAAATTTCCATGTGTAATTATACTTTTAATAAATTATCCCTATGGTGCACAACTTTTGCCTCATTCTGTATATATATATATATATATATATATATATATATATATATGTTTAACTGATGATGACTGACAAGGCACAGCAATTAAGTTTAGTATTATATAAATTTTTCATTACATTGTGGCTATCTTTATAATTGACAATATGTAACCACAATGTGCTGACTGTGTTTAGGAATTAAAAATTTGGGTTGCTAGAAAAAATCTACATATTCACACAAATAAAAAAAGCATTCTTGATAATGGCTAACAGATTAGCTGAAAGCAACTTAGACCCAAATATCAATTGGACAATTCTTACGTAGTCTAAACCCCACCAAAAATCTCTGGGAACTACCAGATCTGCATAAAAGCAGATCTCCTAGAACAACCAAATGCAGCCAGCATGCAGGGCACTGCTACTGCTGCTGCTTTCACTGCCACCACTCAACAAGACCACACCTCTCAACGACCATTAACTCTCCCAGGCTTGACTAACCACTTCGACTATCCAGCTTTTCATTGATAACATCTCGACCTCAAACACCAGGCATGAGTGAATGACTATCTAGCTTTGACTCCCCCCAGCTTCAACCTTTCATCATCGATGATGCTGTCACTGCAGCAAATACTGACATGATAACATCTCACCTTCAGCACCTTCCAGCTAAAAGCCTTCATTATCACGAACCGTGTCACCTCAGCAAATCTAACCATGCCAATCCAACAATGCTGCCATCAGATCAGCCTACTTGACTCATTCACAAGGCATTCCCTTCGCAGTTGCCACTGCAGCCCTGTTTAACTCAACAGGCCTACCAAAACCATGCCAATCCAATGTCACCCCTATTCAATAGAACATGCCTACCAACCATGCCAATTTGACATCACCCCGATTCCATAGAACAAGCCTACCAACCAACAAAAACAGCCTACTACAATGACCTCAACCAAGATGCATTGACAATATCCTGTGACTTCACACCAAACCCACACAAGAATTAGGTCAACTGGCTCTAGCCTTATACCTGACCACTACCCTGATGACTGGCTACTGAAACAGACATTCCACCCGTCTCCAAGATACACCTTGATTGAACATTTTTTTTTTTTGCCAAACACAATTTTTGTTATATACATAGTTTTAAGGTATGCTGTATTTATAGATCAAACAGGTCTCCTCCTTTTGTTTTCCCATACAATACAAAGCCAAATTGAATGATATTTTCTTAGCATCAATTTATTATTCTCATTCTGTCCAGTTTCTAGTCATAAGAGGCTCTGAAAGTGGGACTTTATTATTTGAATTGGATAAAGTAAATGAAAAACTTACAATATCATCAAGCTGCCGTCCTTCAAGATGTAGGTGGGTCAAACGGCTCAAGAAATGATTGAGACTTTCATCTCGAGTCTTCTTGGTGTAGCTCAGGATGCCTCCAAGGATAAGATCAATATTTAACTTCACCATTCTAGAGGGAGAGTCTGCTGATTTAATCAAAAAATAAATCAACACATTGGAAAAACAAAAAAACAAAATATGATTTTTGATATTACCATTGAAATACAAATATTCCTAGACATTGTGTCAAATATTAAACATTTCATTTTAGGAACTGATAAATCTAAACTTACGCCCTCCTGACTCCATCTCTGAAGAAATTAGATCAGTAATCTGACATTACTAGATTATGTACCAAATTTTTGCAAGTGAAAATCAAAAGCAAAAGAATTAGTGGACATAAAAACATGGCTGAGCCAAGGAGACTAACTTGTTGACAATTTTGGTTTCTCTGATTGTGTTAGGTAATTTGTCAGGCATATATACATATATCAGCAGTTATAAAATGAAATTTCTGGATTGTTTTATATTACTGAGTTACAAGATTACACAGTGGTGTCCATTTGCCCAAGAACAGGTGAGTGGAGTCTCAGCCTTTAACTCACATTTTACATTGATGAAAAGAGAATATTAGCTCAAAACAAAATCTTTAAATCTTAAAGGAACATTCTGAATGAATAATTGATCTTGAGTCTCCTGCTTGTGTAATAATCTAACTGGTTAAAATTAATCCATGTTCTGATATTTAGATTCAACATTGCTTTCAAATATTCAGTTGTAACTTGGGAGTTTGAAAATTTCTCTAATAAATCAATGAGAAACTATTTCTACAATTTGACAAAATATATAAATTTTTTCTTGACATTTGGTTGTATAAGAATATAATGGTTAAAACTGATTTTTATATTGTACATCTGAAATATGAATTCAACTAAAAACCATGACAATAAATGATGTAATTAATTAAAAGAATCAGAACCCAAATTTATATTAAATTGATTAAATGTAGTGAGAATTTTGTATTCTTTGACATGTCTCCAAAACATGTGCTAAAAAATAACCAACTGTATTTCAAACCACTTCATACAAAAGTGTTTTTATTCTCAATTTTTTTTTTTTCTTTTTTCATTATGACTTACAAAGTTTTTTTCATACATAAATGCATAGAAAAAGAAAAGGCAAAAGTGAATAAAATTATACCTTATATTTTTCACAACCTAAAGTTTGCCTTTCTGGTCACATAAAACCTTGAACTTTTGAAGCTGGCCAAAAACAATGTAGAATTTAAAAATTGATACAATTCATTTCAATTCCCCAAAAATTTTTGATGGAGTTAAATAAGTAGAATAACATTAAATTCATAAAGGCTTTTGTACCTTCTTATTATTTAATTATATATATATATATATATATATATATATATATATATATATATATATATATATATATATATATATATATTGATGCATGTTTCATTAAATAATATAGACAAGTTTTGTCTATTTATTTTAAGTAAGTTCCTTTCATATTGTCTGATAAGCTTAATAACATTATCATTGAAAGACAAAAGGAAATCACCATATTGATACATGTTTAAATCCAATCTAAGCTTTCAGCTTACATACGCCATTATCAAAGATGACAATTACTTTTCAATATATCAACCAATACACGGACGAAACAATAATGATAGTCTGTTTTTGTTGCATGAAAAATTTCAAAGCAATGACTAACTTGTGTATACGAGATGCGGAAAATCGCATCGCAGCTCGTAATGTCACACATGACCACGTGAGAGTGAAAAACAAGTAGTAAGTATGAGAAGCCGTCGATATAAACCAATGGCTGCTGTTATCAGTTATAGGCATTTAAGAATATCTGTGGAGATTTCATACTTTATTTTGTTCAGGTTAGTTTTCAATTGTTTTATGTATATAGCTTCAAGAATTTTTAATTTTTGTTTATTGTTTTCATGTTTAAGTATTGTTGTGTTTTCAACAAGGATTTTCCAGAATTGTGTATGTGGCCAGGCATGTTGTTTTAAATGCCTAAAAATGTTAGAGTTACCATTCAAAATGTAGAGTCAAGCATAATAGACAATATTAGTGGTCAATATACATATCTATATATATATATATATATATATATATATAAAAAAAATATATAAATATATATATATATGTAAGCAAATATATGGATATAGATCTGACAGTATGAAGAAAAATATATACGGAAAAAACAAACAAAAATCCTTACATACAATTTATATTGTTTTAATGTTTAACATTAAAACAGTATAAATTGTATATAAGGATTTTTGTTTGTTTTTTCCGTATATAATTTTCTTCATATATATATATATATATATATATATATAAATTCCGAAAGAATAGAATCCAGGTAGAACTCAATGTCCAGTACAGAGTAAGCATTGGAATCATAATCACGATCCAATTCATCAGACCTACAAATTCAAAAAGAAATCGGAAAATATAATTCCGGGTACAAAAAGAAAAATTTTAGTGAGAGTGTATGTATGGGAGTGGGAAACAAGTGTGAGAGGGAAATGTATGAAAACTCTAGAGAGAGGGTGTAACAGAAAAAAGAAGTACAGGAAGGCCTAAAGGTGAAGGTGAGGATTAAACTTTAACAGAGAGAAGTTTTAAAGAGAGGAGTTAAATAACGGTTTAAAAGAGTGAGATACAGATAAACATGAATTATTTTTCAATGCATAATTCACTACCGATTTGCTGACCTAAAATTAAAATTAAAAAACAGACACTGGAAACATGTGGATACATTTGTGGTGACACTACGCACAATAAAAAACAATATGATCTAAACTTAAAATTCATAATATATATATATATATATATATATAGATAGATAGATAGATAGACAGATAGATAGATACGTTGTATATTTGTTTAAATGAGTGTGTGTATGTATATGTATGAATGCATGTGAGGTTTTATGTATATGTGTTTGTGTGCACATATGTGTATGTCTATGTGTATATGTGTGTATGTGTGCATGAGTGTATGTGTATTTATATATATATATGTGCACACGTATATCTATGTATGTATGTGTGAGTAGATATATAGATATTTTGCTGTGTATGTGTGTATCTACATATGTGTTTTTGGGCATATAAACAGTATGTTCTTATTAGATTAAATAATTTTTGATTTTTATATGTTTAAGTTAAATTTGTGACCTGTAAGTGATATTACTTGCTTTTGGCAAATTTTATTGATTACACATAATATCTCTTATTCCCCTGTTTTTAGTTTTCGCCATGGACTATTAGTGTTTGAGCCTTTTATATTATATATAATATATTATTTAAATGCACACAGAGGCACACACACACACATATATATATATATATATATATATATATATATATATATATATTAGAAATATAAAAAATAATACTTTCTGTGATTCAAAGTTTCATGTGAACTTCCGGTATTGCATATATTGCCCCTTAAATCACCTGAAGATTATGAGATAGCTGTAACTAGGAGTCCACATGAAAGGAAGCAATATTTGTGCATCATTTTTTTTATATTTCTTATATTGACTCTGTTTATATATTTTTTATATTTTACATTGACCACTGTTCTTATAGTATCCTTACTTGTTTTAAGTATATCTCTTCATGGGACAGCACTGAAAAAATTACCTTTTGACACAATGAAAAGTAGTTTGTCTGCAGCATATATAACAGAGTTAATTTCTTTTCCCCTCAAAATAAATCAAAATATAGCCATTAAAAGCTAAATCCCTGGCAACAAAATTGAGTACACCCTAAGAAACTACACCCCTAAAAAGTGAGTACACTCCTAAGAAACTACACCCCTAAATGTCTAAATTGAGTACTGCTTTTCATTTTCCCTCCAAAATGTCATGTGACTCATTAGTGTAACTATGCCCATGTGTTCATGGGGAACAGGTGTATTCAAATTTGTAGTGCAGCTCTAACACTCTCTCTTAACAGTCACTGAAAGTTCCAACATGGCACCACATGGCAAAGAACTCTCTGAGGATCTTAAAAAACATATTGTTGCACTACATAAAGATGGCCAAGGCTACAAGAAGATTGCCAACACCCTGAAACTGAGCTGCAGCACAGTGGCTAAGATCATCCAGCATTTTAAAAGAGTAGAGTCCACTCAGAACAGGCCTCGGGTAGGTCGTCCAAAGAAGCTGAGCGCACATGCTGAGTGCACGTGCTGAGTGTCACATCCAAATGCTTTCTTTGAAAGATCGGCGTAGGAGTGCTGTTAGCATTGCTGCAGAGATTAAAGAGATTGGGATTCAGCCTGTTAGTGTTCAGACCATACGCCACACACTACATCAAATTGGTGTGCATGGCTGTCACCCCAGGAGGAAGCCTCTTCTGAAGGCAATACACAAGAAAGCCCGTTTGCTCAGTTTGCTGAAGACATGTCAACAAAGCCCATAGATTACTGGAACCATGTCCTAAAGCCTGATGAGATGAAATTTAATTTGTTTGGTTCTGATGGCCTTAAGCATGTGTGGCGGCGACCAGTTGAGGAGTACAAACATAAGTGTGTCATGCCTACAGTCAAGCATGGTGGTGGGAATGTCATGGTCTGGAGCTGCATGAGTGCTGCTGGTATTAGAGAGTTACATTTCATTGAGAGAAACATGAACTCCAACATGTACTGTGAAATACTGCAGCAGAGCATGATCCCCTCCCTCCAGAAACTGGGTCGCAGAGCAGTGTTCCAGTATGACAATGACCCCAAACACACATCCAAGACAACCACTGCTTTCCTGAAGAGGCTGAGGGTAAAGGTGATGGACTGGCCAAGCATGTCTCCAGACTTGAACCCAATAGAACATCTTTGGGCCATCCTCAAGCAGAAGGTGGAGGTGCGCAGAGTCTCAAATATCCACCAGCTCTGCGACGTCATCATTGAGGAGTGGAAGAGCATTCCAGTGACTACCTGTGAATCTCTGATAAGCTCCATGCCCAGGAGAGTAAAGGCAGTTTTGGATAATGATGGTGGCCACACAAAATATTGACAGTTGACATGTTGTATGCTAATATTGACAACTTTTCCTAAGGGGTGTACTCACTTTTGTTGCCAGGGATTTAGCTTTTAATGGCTATATTTTGAGTTATTTTGAGGGAAAAATAAATTAACTCTGTTATATATGCTGCAGACAGTCTACTTTTCATTGTGTGAAAGTGTCATTTTGTCAGTGTTGTCCCATGAAAAGATATACTTAAATATTTGAAGAAATGTGAGGGGTGTACTCACTTTTGTGATACACTGTATATACCTACACACACACACATACATATGCATATATAGAATATCTGATTTCATTATGCAAAATTTCGCAATAAAAATGACATTAATCAACCAATGTTTCTGGATATACTTATATATTCATAATATAAATATACCCTGTTAATTTCAACTTATAATATTTGTTTTTATTATGATAATAACTTACGTTGTTCCCTGTTTTCACAAATACAGGTTAGTGCTCATCCACATTTCAATATTGACCCTCCATCCTTCTTAGTGCCAGCAGAAGCTCTTACAGTCTATTATCAACAAGAAGATTGATCACATCATTAGAAACAACTTCTTGAGTGACAAGCAGCATGGATTTTGCTCCTCTAGGTCCACTTTTGATATCCTAACTGTCATTACACCCAGTATCAGTGAGGCACTCGATACTCATCATGAGAATGTACAGCTTAGATATGTCAAAACCATTTGACACAGATGTGCCAAAGAAGGATGCTATACAAACTCCTCAACTATGTTATCTCTGGAAGAATCTTTGTAATTACCAAGTCCTTCCTATTGGGTAAATCAATGAAGGTTGTTTTCATGGCAAGTCTTCTGAAGACTATGCATATATCAATGCAGGCATTCCCATGGCTCTCTCTCTCTCTCTCCTCAATCCTCATCTCTTTCTGCTTTATATTAAGGATCTGCTTGAGAACATTTTCAGATCATTAGTAAATATTTATATAGATGGTACCACAGTTTATGAGTGTACCTCCAAATATCTAAATGACTAGAGCATGACAGATCATCTCCGTTCAATAAAGGAAAAAATGGCTTTTAACTTTCAATATTTCCAAAGCCAAGTGAGTAATGTTTCATCATCACTGAGCAGACTCTGAATTTTCTCCTGTAATGATAAACAGTTGAGGTACCTTGCTTTGAACATTTACCAGGACTAAGGTTCACTCCAGATCTCAAGTGGAACTCATGTATATGATCCATTGCTGAAGAGGCTGGAAAAATGTTCAATTCTTTGTACCACTCCAGAAAGTACTTGATTCTACCTACCATGCTCTATTTTTACAAGATCAAAAATGGATTCTTCCTGCCATGTCTGGACTGGAGCTGCTCAATCCTCACTTTTCAGCCATGACAGAGTTCAAAAGCAGAGTTCCACATGTTAGAAAACAAACTATTAGCATAGAACTTACAGTTACATCTATCAATTTCAACTGTAAAATGATGAAACTTTGCTGCCAATCTAGTACTGTGCTTAAATTCATAAGTTTAGGTACCATAGAGGAAAGTTCATCTGAACAATTTCCATGAAAGTATTTATAGAAAAGGCACAAAAAAGCTACATTACAGTGGTGGGAAGGGGAATGAAGCTGAGATGTCAGGTCAGAGCCAATAACATCGCAGATTCTTCATTGGATTTCATCAAGAATCTCAAAACATATAACTGGAGCACCAGACCAGATGTGGCAGCAATATTCAAAGCAAGGATGAATGATAGACATATAAATAGGTAAGAAGATAGATTCTGGCAAGAAAAATTATCTAGTTCAACACAGTGAACCAACCTTCTGAGTTGCCAGACATAGCAACTGATTCAATATACTCTTTCCACTTCATGTCAGCTAAAAACATTAGTCTAAGAAGGTGTTATGAATCTCTCTTGTGAAGGTTAGCATCAGCCATGCTGATACAAGTTTAAAAAAGAATTCTTGCCACTGAACAAAGTTCAATGAAATGATAAAGGGTGAACGGTGAAGGGTTAGGATTTTTTTCTTCCTATCGTAAATTAACTTTCTTGAAGTCTAGTTGCAGAATAAAAAGGAACGCAATTTCATTTTCTTCAAGAGAAAACTTAATAGTCTATCAGAAATGCATGCTATTTGCACAAAGTTACAGTTCTGGTTTGTTTAGCATTCCTTAGATTGTAAATTGAACCTCCACCTAAAAACTTAAAATAAAAAGTTAATTCCCAGAAAAAAATTAAAGCAATATTCATTCAAAACATATGGTAAAAATACTGAGTAAAAATACTGAGTAAAAAATACAAATTTATTTATTTATTTTTTATTTTTTATTTTTTCACATTATTTACAGTCAGACTAAATAATGTCCTTATATTTTTTTATCAGAATAACAAGATGGTGATAGCAAATAACTACTCATCCAAGTTGTTTGGACAGAAATTAAAAATACATTTACAAAAGTCCAATTTAATGAATTATTCTTTTTATCACTCCGGCGAACGAGAGAGAGAGAGAGAGAGAGAGAGAGAGAGAGAGAGTTTATTACTTTCCTTTGTAAAAAAATAAAAAATGCTAGCATTATTAGTTCATTTAGTAAATTTTTGGCTTTAGCTTAATTTCAGTTGCTTTTCATCACACACAAATCTCAGACTTTTACTTGACAAACAATAAAAAAAAATTAATTAAATTGAAAAATTAATAATTGACAATGCTTTATTTAATAATAAAATTCAAGATTTTTTTTTTTTTTAACTAAATTGATGCTTCCAAAAATAAATTCAAAACACAAATTCCGGGAGTACAAGCAAACATGGCAATTTCTCAAACAATAACAATAAATAACAACGATAACAATCACAAAAACATATAAAAAAAACTTACCATTCACTAAATCCCTGTTAATATTTTCTATGTAAAATTAAATACGAAAATAATTTTAAAAAGTGTTAAGATTCTATATGTTGAATTAGAAAGACTTTTTAAATAATTGCCAGAAAATATTTATTTTCACTTAACGAAATTTTGTTTCTTGCATTTTCTGAGGCATCAATCGTTGCTAAGAGACGAAATCTATGTCTCGATTGCGCATGTGCCATGGATACTTATCATGTACGCCACATATTTGGGTTGTTAGAAAAAAGGGAAATATTGTACACGATGGCGAGTCGAAACGTAACGAAAAATAATTTATTTCTCATTTTTAAAAGTTTTACTGATAAAGTCCCATTTCTCGACTTTATTCCGTGGTATGTTAACGCATGCTCTACAAACCAATGTTCAGAAAAGTTTTGATTTCGAGGAACAGAATAATAAATACAAATAAAATACATTAGTTCATTTTTTTTCGAAAGAAAGTAATCCCGAAAAACATGTTAAGAAGATTAAGAATTAATTAATAATATTTTAAGTTGATATGAATCAACATGAAGCAACACATCCAATTTTCTTGCTGATTAAAAACACTTTTTTGTAGTTACCTTTTATATTTTTGATATTTTAAAATTATCTAAATAAATCCATATTTCTACGCACTTGTGGCCTTTTTAATGGTTACAACAGCAAAGTGGAAAAGAGAGAAAGTCTCACCTTTAAGCAAAATGTTGCAACCAGCTACCATCAAAGCAAATCTTAAACTTTTACATTACGAGAGAGAGAGAGAGAGAGAGAGAGAGAGAGAGAGAGAGAGAGAGAGAGAACAGCTTCTAAAGTTTAAAAAATATAAGGTGAAAAACTGATATAAATTCCATGAAAGACTCGCTTTTTAAATCTTGATGCATGCCGTGGTCCATATTTCCTTATGACTGTATTGTAGCGAACAGGTTACCACTAGACTAGATTAAACGAATTCAGCACGTAGAGGATTTTTCATATATACTTATATAAAAACATATGAATCAAGAGAGGAGAGAAAAATATACTTGGTTACACAGATAGAAATTATAACACTTATGGTAGTTGTAGTGTTGTGTGTGTGTGTGTGTGTGTGTGTGTGTGTGTGTGTGTGTGTGTGTGCGCACGCGCGTGCGAGCACCATGAAATCAAATAATCGGCCTGCCCAGGGAAAGAAATCTCCCTCGACAGAGTCCCGTGTTGTCGCTACTACAACCCAGAGCAAAAAGAGTAAAAGAATGTCTTTTACTGCTTATACTGCTGATTGCCACGCGGAGTTAAGCGAAGTCCTTTGGCAATCGAAATGTGGTAATCTCACACATTCGACACGCGCATTAATTAAAAAAATATATATTTATGTAAACAGAGTACAACATAGATCACAAAAAAGAAATGAAATTATATTCATGTGATTATCTGTGGTGTGGCGTTCCTGCCTGTGCGTGCCTGTGTGTGTGTGTGTGTGTGTGTGTGTGTGTGTGTGTGTGTGTGTGTGTGTGTGTGTGTGTGTGTGTGATGTACCGGGTGGTTTGGCTGAAATTAAGAAGTTGGTTTGGCCGAGGAAAGAAATCTCCCCGAGGACGAGCGCCATCTTGTCACTACCGCATCCTGTAGGTGAGAGAGCAAAAGCGAGAAAGAGTGTATGAGTCAATTCTTTTTATACTGCTTATTGCCACGCCACCTAGCTAAAAGTTCTCCGACAAACAACATATTTTATTGTCTATGCAAAGTAAATGTGAAGAAAACAAAGAGGGTGAATGAAGGTATGCATTCTGAAATGTCCTTATTGTACATACGTATGTGTGAAGTTCATAAGAAAGGTTTTAAGATTTGAGAGGTGTTCGTTATCCGTTTGTTTGGTAGAGTTATTAGATATGCTTGTGTCAAATAAACTTAGGACCTTTTATGATGTGTACTATTCAGTGTGCATTCAATGCGACCTGAGGTTCACTGGGGACTTAATGGTCCCCCAAAGGGGAATGAAATACATCTTAACTTAAAGTGTCCTGTGCGACTTTTTCACTCATTTCTTATATAGTGCTTAGGTAACACTACTATTGTAGTAACCTGAAAGGGATCTGTCAAATATAATTCAGTATAGAGATGCAAAGGGTAAGATGAATTTACGAGGGTCACGTGACGATCGATAAGTGATGTCAGTTTGTGTGGTGACGAGCACGAGTTGCTTATATAGACCGCTAGGACCCTAGACGTTATCACAAGTCCACAGCACTATTGCGAACAGAGGAGAGTACATGGTACCACCAAGAACATAGAGGACACCACCAACGTGGCCGTTTTCCATTCGGGAAATATAACAAGTAAGACTCTCTCGCTTTTCGCGCTTTTAGTTGTATTAATGTTATAATTTCTCTGCGTGGGAGAAACAATGACAGGTATATATGTATCGGTATATAATTTACTGTATAACATAGTGGTATAAAAAATCTTTGATAATAATGCATGTTTGTTAATCCTTTATTTCAGTCATTCTGGACCTTCCGTCCGTTGCATTAAGGTGTTAGTATGTCATGGATATGCTGTTGCCTATAATGATGCAACTGTAAATATTATCTCTTTCCTAGCACCCCCCATTAACTGGTGACTTTCCCGACGGTATAATTAACTAAATACAGTTTTATAAGAAATAATCATTTTGGAGCCAATAAGGAAGGCATCTTTCGAACTAAAATAGTCTAATTCGAACTTCAAATGATTCGGTCGATAACAACTGGATAACTTACTACAGTTAGAAAGGAAACGCATTTCTTAGATTTATTGAAAATAAAATGTATCTAAAAGAACTCTCAATTGTTTGATCCTGCTAGATCCTATATAAGGAAGTATTTCCACCAGTTTAATCTGAATCGAGCTCTCCAACGTCGTTACATTCACACACACACACACACACACACACACACACACACACACACTCCCCCTTCTCTATCTCTATCACACACACACACGCACACACACACACACACACTCCCCCTTCTCTATCTCTATCACACACACACAGGGTGCGATGGATAAATTGTTGTTTAATTTGCGCAAAAATGAAAATAACACTGACATCTCATTTTAACAGATATATTTACCAAAATTACAGAAAAATATCTTGAAATACTAAAGAGTAGATTTATTCAATAAAATCACCATTGGCCTCAACCACAACCTTCAGACGACGTCAGAATCTCCTGCAACTCTTCTGAACGGTCTCCTTGTTTAAGTTGGTGAATGCTGCCATAATCCTTGCCTTCAGTTCATTTTTGGTGTTACAAGGAGCTTTATTGGTCTCTCGCTCAACTGCTCCCTACACATAATAATCAAGGGGTTTGCAGTCTGGGGAGATAGATGACTGGATGTAAGGGGTGATGTGGTCGCAGAAATAGTCTGATGACTGGATTCTCCTGCTTGTGTGGCATGGTGCAGAGTCCTGTTGTCAAACATAGTCTTTCAGCAGCTACCTGCTTGACCAAGGGCAGCACTATCTCCTGAAGGAACTTGATGTAGGCCTCCGTGTTGAGTCTGAGGCCCTCTCCAACAAATTCGGGAGTTCTTTCAAGCTGCCGTACCTTCGTAATCATCATTAGACTCATCCAACTCTGTCCAAATCCTCTGCACTATCCTCAGGTTATACATAATTTACCCAAACACAAATGTTTGTATTGAAGCTTCCAGCGCGAATGCCAGGCAGTACAGCATGACGTTTCCAAATTTCTGACACAGTGAATTGCGTCATGGTCTTCCTTTTCTCCCAGACGGTACCCAACTGACCTTACTATACTGTGCAGTCGACAAAATAAAAAACAAACAACGCAAAATTAAAAATATAAAATGGCGACAATTTATCCATCGCACCCTGTATATTCATGGCAATTGTTTGGGTGAGCTTTACAAATTCAAGCGCAGCAGTACTAGATTGGCAGTTAGGTCTCATCATTTTACACTTGAAAGGACTTAATGTAATCGTAAGTTCTATGCGAACAGTTTCTTCTTTCGCACTTCTCGCTTGTGGAACTCTCTTTCAGTCTCTTACTTTCCAGTCAACTTTGATCTTCAAAAAATTAAATGCATTACTAATCGTTATCCTCTGTCTGCTTAATTCATGTTTTTTTATTGTTCTATCTCCTTAATAATGTTTTTCTTTTTCTCATAGTCTTTCGCACTCAGTAACCTTTTACATCTTACCTTGCTCCAGTTTAAATGATTAAAAAAATAATCTCACACGAACTCACAGGTCATCTAGTCAGAGAGAGTCAACTGTTTAACTTTGCAACACACTTCCCAACACCCACCTTATTTTCTCCAATGTTCGACTGTAACTTCTTTACCTCTCATAAAGTATCATGTTTCTCTTTGAAGAAGGACTTCAATGATTTTATTATTTATTAAAGTAATTATTATTGCTACCTTATTTGAAATCACAATCTTGTTTTATCGTTCTCTTTACTTTATTCTTATACATATATTTCTTTATACATATTCTTCTTGATTGTTTCAATTTAATGTTAACCTTTTGTTTTAAATCTACTTTGACACGGCGATATGTATTTGTTGGTGGAAGATAATTTATTTGAACTTAAATATAAATAGCTTTGAACTTCACGCTATCTAGCGGTCCTCAGAAGAAGCTCTTTGATAGTAGACAAGTAGGTGTAAAGCCATACATACATTTTTCTAAATATTAGTTGGAAAAAGCTCAAAGTACCATTGATTTAGTTTTCTCTTAAAAAGGTTTTGTTTTAAAAAACATTAATCAGTCATTTCATAAAGCTGTCGGATCTATCTATCTATCTATCTATCTATCTATCTATCTATCTATGCACACGCGCGCGCTCGCGCGCGTGTGTGTGTGTGTGTGTGAATAAATTTTATATCTTTTTTTGCCTGTCCCTACTCCATTTATCTACGACAATATTCCTGAAAACTAAACATTGTTAATGTTATGATCCAAGGTTAGGACCAAGGAAGAACAACACGAACACAAGAGTAGAAATAACGAAGGTGTATTACACGAAATAATAATACAAGATGTGGAATGTGTTAGTATGACTGTCAGTCTGGTTTGGAGTGAACTACTATCGACTCGACTCGATTCGTCTGTTGGGGATGTGCAGAATTTATTAATTGTAATTGAGTGAATCAGAAGGAATTTGTGTAGGTTGCGTGACTTTCTGCATCCATAAACAAATAAATAAACGGATTTTAAATACGATCAAAAACAAGACATATTCAATTTAGAAACCAACAAAACATTTATACACAATTAAAAGTAATATATATACAGGATATTTTGGTATATGTTACTATGACAAAGTGTGTGTGATAATTGAGGTTTCGGTATGTCTCTTTTTGTATTTATATGTTCAGTTACAGTCTTTCTGGAATTGTATTAATTAATATTAAAAATGTCGATGTTAAGTGTTTTTAGGAATGAGTCCTTATAGAGTGGTCTACCTTTGACTGTAATATTTCTGAATCGTTCGAATGTTGATTTTTTTACTTAATAATGTAGTGAGTATAGTTCACTTTGGATAAGCAAAGTTGTTTTAGGTTTGCGATTTGATGTCCACAGAGTTGGTCGAGTTTAAATTGCAAGTGAGTCAGCATTGATGTACTTTTGCGTGGTAAAGTCGTGATTTCGAGTGACGTGGAGTATGTTGGCAATTTCTCTGTAGATGTTCGTCTCTGACTCTTTTGATCAGTCGGTGTTTTCTTTTATATGTTTTTGAAAGTCCAAAATCGGGTCAAAGAAGTTTTGGCGCAATTTTGTTTTGCACGTGAAACTTTCAGATTATTGTGTCGTTAACCAATGAGATTTGTTGATTCGCCTAGTACGGTTTTTGTTGGTCGAATTTTTCCGTACGTAGGCGTAAGGTATAGACTGTTCTGTTACTAGGGGTGATAGGAAGAAAAGGACGAGTCTACAAGTCCCTCTCTCTTAAGAGGCGTAGTATACATAGTGTTAGGAAGAGTTCATTCTGTAGTTATAGGTAAGGACCCATGACAGTTAATTTTCTTAACAAAAATTTATGAACTGTTCTATGATCAGAAAAATTAATTTATTTTTGGTGGGCCTTTTTCACTTGTTTTAGGTCTTGGTTCATGTCTTTAATGGGGTGCTAAGCAAAAAGAATAATCCCAGTTTCCTTTTCCCGTTATAAACATTGTTATATCAGTGATATGGTAACATAATAATACACTGACGGAACAGAATAGCTGAAATAAAGGAAAGACAAACATGGATGGTCCCCAAAGAGATTTTTTATATCGATATGCACATAGTTGTTACTAATTTGCTCTACAGATAGAAACTATATAGCATATGTATACAACAAGCAGTGAGAAAAGAGATAGGATTTTACATGTAATATTTCCCAACGGGAAGAAGAGCAGGTCGGTGGTCTCTTTTATGTTTCTAGTTAGACCATGTAGATTCCTCTGTTCACCTTACCGTTGTGGGCTTGTGACGACTGTATTCTCTGCAACCTACATAGCAGTTATCTTGGGTTGACATGTATTTCTACCAGACGTGATAAATAGCAACTGGTCTGAGCAGACACGTCTTGCGAAATAAAAAGCAACTGGCGCTCGACACTATGAACTGACGTCACTCATCGGGCGCCAGATGACCCTTGATACTTTGTCTCAACTAAAGAGAGATAATCGCCCTTTGCATGCCTACCACACCTGTAGCAACTGGCTGTCCACACAAGAGATTAAATCACAGCAAGTATCCTCAGTGCTCTAAAATTAGTCTTTGTATTCTAGCTGTCGTCTATAGAACTTTATATAACCTTATTTCCCAACAAACGTAGACTTATGGTGGGTATTTTGCGGAAGCATAGAGAGAGAGAGAGAGAGAGAGAGAGAGAAAGAGAGAGAGAGTAAATATTTATGTATATGTATGTATCAAATGTAGTAACCGCCTACTTGACAATGTGGGTGGAGGAAGGTACGTCTGTTTTCAAATGTATCAGCGGACTGCTTAAAAGATGGAGAAAAACAGGATGGATGGTTTAAATGGAGTAGAACGTTTTGACCGTCTAAAAATGCCAGGTCTCTAGGTATGTTACCATGACTGCAGAATCAGAGAATCGACAAAATTTAATTATAGATTCTGATTTGGTTTGATTTTCTATCTGGTTATATACACATCTATATATCCGCTTCGTAAATGCCGCTTTGATTCTCATTAGCTCATGGCCTTATAGCCTGGTTATGGAAGCATTCTGATTGGTTGCTCGAACTATGGCTTTGTGGAATGGCTATTTTGAATATACATAATTCAGCTGTCTCTTTCTGATTCTAAGTAAAAGTGTTCATTTAGTTACCATTTTTTTAGGACTTTCTCAGTGCTTACTCTATGGAATTTTCAGTGTCCTTCTGTAGACACACATTTCTGTTGCTTCTAGTTTTGTCTTCCTCTGTAGGGAGATTGTCCATATACGCTGTCATACAAGTGGATTGATATTGTTTCACACCGTCGCAATTAGATCTATTCTGATTCTTTCTACACGCTGTCCGGGTGTGAACGCCACGAAGGCAGAAAACGAAATAACAAAAGTCGTTTTCTGCGCATTGGGCTCCACGCATCACATCCGGTCTACGAAGTGAACTCTGGTGGTGGCCAATCACGAACGTTCCCGCCGGTAAAAGAGATGCCCCTGGGGACTACCAGACCCGCTTAAATGCAGGCCCTGAGAACGACCAGGACTCAGTTGCGGCCAGGGCGCTCCTGCTGCAGCGGCTACCGTCGCTATGACATCGTCACCATGACAACAGAGTTTCGGACCGGCCGTCACGCAGAGCACTACTACCATTACCATCACCGCCACTACTAAACATGACCGCACATCTCAACGACCGTTACTACTTCCTGGTTTAACCATCTACCTCCGCTATCCAGTTTCAACTCGAAACATCTCAACCTCAACTCCACCCAGCGGAGCTGTCCAGCTTCAATTTGAAACATCTCAACCTCGATTCCTACCAGCTACAAGCATTCATCGATACCCCCCCCCATCACCTCGACCTACATCAACTCGTTTACAAGGCATTCCCTTTACAGTAGACACCAGAGGCATCAGCTCCACAGAACAGGCCTATGTCGACTCGTTTACAAAGCATTCCTTTCACAGTCGACACGAGCGAACTTCGTTCCACAGAACAGGCCTACCAAACTCGGCCGTCACTTCGGCCTACCTCGACTCGTTTTCAAGGAATTCCCTTTACAGTCGACACCAACGACCTCCGTTCCACAGAACGGGCCTACCTCGACTCATTTACAAGGAATTCCCTTAACAGTTGACACCGCAACCATGGAACAGGGTCTCTAAGACTCACCAATCGGACGTCACCCGGTTCAGCACAAAAGGTCAACCAACCGACGAGACGATCTACCACCGTGACCTCGATCAACCAAACATGCATCGGCCATATCCCATGACCTCAGCCACGCCGGCACAAGAAATGGTTCAACTCTCGACAATACGCTTACACCAATTGCTATTCCTGTATTGTCTTCCAACAATAAATGTTGTTTCACTCTAATCCTCGTTAATCCTTTCTATCGCTACCAAACGCTTAATATAACAATATTCATCAGTCTTTGCCTTGTTTCTAAGGAAATATTCCTGTTTCTTCGTGCTTTTTGGAATGCATCTTTCGGTAATCCAATGCACGTTCGGATTTGAGTGTCGCATTTTCTATCCTTTGTTAAAACACTTTCCCAGACAAACTTCTTTACTTGTTTGATGTTGACATTTCCAATTTGTAGATCGTATCTTTTTCTTTTGCTGACAACCATACATTTTATCTTCTTGCATACGAGAGTTAGTTCTTTTTATAGTGTCGTGTGGCTTAGGGGTTAAAATGTACAGTTGATTTACCCACGCCAAGAAGATTAATGAAGGATGATAATGACAAGGAAACACAGGGGTAATTTTGACAAAACAAGATAATCAATTTATTCCCGAATTTACAGACTTGAAGTAGTGTCAGTAGCTCGTTTCAGGAAAATAAATCAGAATTCTTAATGTCTGTAGTTTTAGTGTATTGTCATAAAGAGGAAATGTTCATACAACTGATTAAATGTTCTGATTCAAAATGTTTAAAACAAGGGTAAGACAGATGTCATATATGAATGAAAAGTGTCACTAATGACACCGGAATTTGAACGTGAATCTCTAGACCAGGGATCACCAAACTACGGTCTGCGGGCCAAATCAGGCCCGCAACGTCAGTTCATCAGACCCGCAGACGGTACTTGCATTTGCGTGATAAAACGGATGGAACACGAGATGCTGTGAAATGAAATTTTTTAAAAATGTTTCATGGATAATTGACACGAAGGGTCAGAAAATTTACCCGGTCAAAGTGTTAATAGAGCTGGTCTCTAGGCTGTTTATTTAGACTTGCCCTATTTATAAATTTTGCAAACCTTATTATTTGATATTTTTTATTGCCAAAGGTAACCACACAACTAGATGATTGCAGAATATATTGTCTTGTGCATGCACACAGAAAGAGGCCTTCATAGACACGTGTGCCTGTCCGTACATGTTCTCGGGAATGCAATCCGAATAGGCGACCAATCAGTATTGATCACGTGCGTGATGTGAGAGTGTGCGTTTCAATAGGATTTTAATTATGTTTCTAATTCAATGTTTTTTCATTGTTGCATTTTCAATGAAGAATGGGGAGTAAAGTAGTTCTTTGTGGAAACAAAGAACCAGAAAGCTAGTTGCTTGGTATGCAGCGAAAGTGTTGCCGTTTTGAAAGAGTACAATCTTCGGCGTCACTATGAAACAAAACATCTATCAACATATTCAATTCTGGAAAG